TGAATCTAAACTCCGATTTGATCGACTAAATTTACCCAGAAAGAAAATCTAACGTTTATGACTCATTTGACAATAAATCACTAAAATGGAATACATATGCATGTATACAAATGTTTTAATCTGGCCAGTACCTAATCCAAGTTTAAATCAAATAATCTTTAATGGAAGATCAGTACGTCCAACCCGAGCTTTGTGTCTCTCGAACAGTTCTTGAAGAGCTTTAATAAATTGAGCTTGTACTTCAAGAATCTGTGAACCAGATCAACCAATAAACTCGTGATTATTTACTACATATGTTCTAAAAAGAATTTAGTTTATTATATGAAGAAGCCATCCAAATATTTATCCGTAAGAGTTTCGAGCTTGTTCGTGAATATAAGAATATAAACTTTAAATATATTCATATTCGACACGTACCTCTCCGGCAGTAGGTTGAGGATTTTTCTTCAACTCGAAAGGTTTACCCACCACCACATGCATGGGATGTTGATAGGGTAAAGGAGTTCTGCATGTTATCCGATGCAAATTAGATGAACTCTCCTACTTACATTTTTATAATTGCATAATACCAAAAACGACCCTTCCAATATTTATCAAAGTGGTCATTTTGGTCTCTATTCTTTTTTGGAGCATTTTAGCCCCAACATTTTACTTTGGGGCAAAATGCTCCCTCTATATATGAAAATCATTAGTTAACACATGATTAACGCTCCAAAATGAAAACCTTTTTTAACCTAAAATAAAACATTAAGGGGTAAAATGCTCCAGGAAAAAAAAGAATAAAGGACAATGTGATTATACTGTCAAATGTTAGGCGGTTTTACCCTAAAATGAAATGTTAGGGCAAAAATGCTGCAAAAAAATAAAATTGGGACAAAATGACCATTTTAATAAATATTGGGACTATTTTTTAGTATTATGCCTTTATAATTAAACCAAATAAAACTTCAAAAAACTACAAACCCAAAAACACCCCCAAAATAACATGGGAAGGAATTTGATACCCCTCGCAAGTTGTAAGAACAATTTCCCACTTGGTTTCCACCACTTGTAGGAATATGACTGGACCAGGTGTTAACAAAAGTGACACGCAATACAATATTGTAGAAATTGTAACAAAGAAAAATGAATGAACAAAAGAAATAAGGCCAGACTGGCAAGTAACCATTAATATTAGGGTGCGTTTGGTTCACGGAATGTAAGATTATCAGTGGGAATAAAAGATTACCAAAGAATATAATTACTGTGAATGTTGTATTTTGTGTTTGGTTGATTTAGCAGGAATGTAAGATTATCATGCTTAGTTAAAGGAATAAAAGATTATCAAATGGAGGTTTATTCATTACAGCATAAACCTCGCAAGGAATATCAAAGCAGCAAAAGAGAACTCACGGGAGAAAATCACCAAGGAGCCAAGATGGGTCAAATGGAGGAAGCCGCCTCGGGACTGATGGATTTTAAACTCGGATGGAACCTGCAAAACAAACACCGAACAAGCGACAACAGGAGGATTGATTAGAGATGAGAACGGGAATTGGATAAAAGGATTTATGATAAACATAGGGAGAACTACTAGCGTAATGACAGAGCTGTGGATGATATTCAAAAGGAAGTGATTTACAGAGAATGTGAAGAGCTAAGAAAAGAGGGTTGGATACAAAATATTAGACATATATGTAGAGAGGGGAACCGAAGTGCGGATCGCCTCGCTAATCTAGCATTTGAGAAAGAGGGAGAGTTCACATTCTGGAAAACCCACTAGAAGAAATAATAAAGCTGTTAGAAATGGATTTAGAAGGAGAATGTGTTAAAAGATGGTAGGCTATTATACATAGCCACTTCATTTGTACCAAAAAAAAAAAGGAATAAAAGATTATTAGAATGTATATTTGATCAAATTGTCCTTATTATATATTTATTTTTTTAACAAGTTGAAAAATATTTATATATTTTCTTTAAAAATTTAAATTCATAATATATATGTTTTTTATAAAATTAAAAATATAAAAAGGTTTAATGAAAGGGTAAAATTTTATTTTAACCCCTGAATTTCATATAAAATTTTAATTATAGATTTTTTTTGTAAATCTAAAATAGTTTAAGGATAAATTTGTAATTTAACATTCGTAAAATTTTTATTATTCAATAATATAATAAGGATATCTTTTAAAGAAATTTTTTTAAGGACATTTTAGTCCAAAACACTGGTAATCCAACAATACCTAAGGAAATAGAGGTAATGACATTTCCGGTAATATACCCAAAAAAATCCACTATTTATAATGTAAGAATACCGGGAATGACATTCCCGGCCAACCAAACGGGGAATGTGGATTCCATTCTTATGAGAATCTCACATTCTCCAACCAAACACACCCTTAGTATTCGAGTGTGTCGAATAAAATTTAAAAAAAAACATTTGATAATTTTAAAACTTATGTTGTACAACAATATTTGATAGAATAGAGTGAAAAAATAAGTGTAAACTATACATTTAGTATCTAATTATTAATTTTAGTATGTTTTAGTACCTATATTTTTTATTTTTTTTCAAAATCATACTTAACGTTTAGTTTTCATTTCATTTCATTTAGTATCCGCCGTTAAAAACTTAACGCATATAGTACCTAAACTATCAACTTTAGTCTGTTTTAGTGCCTAAACTTTTGATTTTTTAAAAATTTACGTTAAATTTTGAACGGATATACTTAAATGAAACGAAAACTAAAGATTTTAACAACAAATATTAAAATGAAACAAAAACTAAACTTTAAGTAAGATTAATTTACCCAAAAAATTAGTTAAATTTATTATCAGAAGTGAGGGAACACACAAAAATAAAAGGTTAGTAGGGTTAATCATAACCACATACGAAAATTCTTTATTATCATATCCTGTCCTGCCCTTTTAAAAAAAATTACGTTATTTTATCCAACTTGAATCACATCATATTATGCAGTGACAGATTTATGTTATTCTAAGGGTGGGTAAATTTTATCTTAAAATTTGAATTTATTTCGGTTAATTATTTATCGTATTAACAATATTTATTTTAAAATTTTATTTGTGTTTACTTATTTTATATTATTAATATATGTGTACTTAGCATCAAAAATATTTTTGAACCGATCACTAATATCATGTATATATTCTGTTTCTGGCCAGCTATAACCAGATTCCAGTAGGAAACAAAATTCTTCCTCGTGGCTGGTGTGGCACCCAACCACGTCCATATATGCCTCAAAAAGGGGATGTAAAATGCCAAATCCATTCGTCTACACCAGTTATGGCCTAAGAACATCGACTCATTGAGTTGTGGGATGTAAAGAAATTGTACTTACAGTACTGGTTGCAAGGCATTTCTGTTTGGGAAGAGGCAACAAACCGGCACCTTCAGAAAGCGTGATAACACCGATAGGCAACACTGAATGTGGCTCGTAACCGAAAACTGCAGCATTTGCAATCTGAAAATGGATTATTTTCTCGAGGATTTTGAAGTATGGATTAAAAGAAAGGAAAGAAACCGTATGCATGATCGGGCAGGAAGTCGTTGATGTCCTCGACGACGACGTGGAGAGTGACCGGAAAATAAGCGGTCATGTGGGTGCTTGTATACCTGTTTATTCGGTTCATCCTCATTTGTTAATTAAGATTTCAAATCAGGTGTAGAGAATACAACTGGTACTTCGTACCTGGCCAAGCTCCGCCCCCGTTTACTGTTATGATCGATCGGAAGAACCACGAAAACCGAAAGCAATCCGATCACCCTGGGAATGTCGAATTGTAAGATTTAAATTCTGTTTTTTCCCAAACAGAAACGAATTGTAAGATTTAAATTCTGTTTTTGTTCCCCAAACAGAAATGTAGTTATACAGAACAGAGAGAGGAAGAACATGAGGAATTTGGAGAAAGGAAGGAAGAGGAGGGAGAAAACGAAGAGGAAGATGTTGAAATGAATCGCTCCAATCCAAATCACATTGGCTAACGTCCCGTAAACGTTGGACGGGAAATGGTTTCTTCCGTTGAATTCCCGATATCCAGATCCAGGTGAATACGCATTCCCCTCCTTCTTTACCTCCACCATCGCCGCTGCTTCCGGCGCCGACACGCCGTTTTGGATTCAGTTTACTCAAATCACGCAAGCACGAATAGATGCAACTTTGTAAACAGGAACGTACCCATGATATCAACTCAAAGGTGATAGACTATATTAACAAATAGAAAGTAAACAAAATGATGGTAAACTACGCACTTGTAGTTTGGTTCTAGAAAATATTTGTTGTTTTTGTTTTCATTTATGGAAAATAATTTTTCTTTTTCATTTGAAATTATAAAACATGTTTGGTTAATATAAATGAAATTTTAAATTTAAAAATAAAAATTGTGAAAATGTATTTGACATCTAATTTTTTTAATGGTGAGACAATAAAATAAAACAAAAACTAAAAACTAGATATAATTTTAAAAAAATAAATTTAAATACTAAAACATATCAAAATTAACATTTTAAGTATTAAACGCATAATTACCCTAAATTCAGAGGAATAAAATCAAATTAAATTAAAACTAAAGGTCTTCAGTGCCGTATTGCCACATGTCGCAATTTTTCAGGGCAGAGGTATTCCAAGGCATCGGCTTTACAAATTGTCCTCACCACATCAAGCAAAGGATTTGATGCAGTTTTACGACGTTGTGCTTGGAATTTTGTTGGGTAATGCCCTACTCCGTACTCATCGCTCAGTGTCGGGTAATGTTCACACTCTTTTAGTATTTCAACAAAAAAAATATTTGTTAAATATGTATTTTTAAGTGAACAATATCTTCACTATGGTTTTATATATTGTAAAGCTAATAAATAAATAACATGATCTTTTAGAGTTTGGTGATCAAACCAAAATGAACCCAAACAGGTGGGACATCTGCTGTAATTTACCCTAACCCAACCATAATTGGCATTGAACAATACAATAGAGGAGATTGGCAAATACACAAACATGAAAAATGCCCGACTTCAACAAACAAAGTTCAAATCAAAGAATCTTTAAAGGAAGATCAGCGTATCCCACCCGAGCCTTGTGTCTCTCAAATAGATCTTCAAGAGCTTTAACAAATTGGTCATGTACTTCAAGAACCTGAGAACCAGATTAACTCATTCATATGCTATTTAACCCAGAAAATAGTAAATTCTACCATAAAAAATTATAAGAAAATACCTCTTCCTTAGTAGGTTGCGGGTTTTTGGTCAAGTGAATAGGTCTCCCAACCACTATATGCATAGGATGTTGATAGGGTATCGGAGTTCTGCAAATAACACAAAGGTAGGAGATCAAATGTGATGTCCAATATACAGTATGATATATATAATTATATGAGAAAAATATAGATTCGAATGCATTTGAACACATCTCATCTTTCGATTTATGGGTAAGAAAAAGGAATAGGATTGGTTTCCTGTTTAGCATACAAGATAAAGTTTAGAGCCATACATTAAAGCACCCCAAAACAACATGGGGACGAATTTGATAACTCTTGAAAGTTGCAGGATGAACTTGCCACCTGGTTTCCACCACTTGTACGCATGTGACTGGTGCACAAGTAAGAAAGACAAGAAGAAATTGGATTCAAGTTGTGAAAAAAATTGTTGAAGTTGCTTGATACATGATAACAATAAGCTGAAGTAAATGAGGAATTAATAACAATAAGCTAAAGTAAATGAGGAATTAAGTGGTAGAAAACGCTATAAAAACATTGCTACTTACCTGACCAAAGGCGAAAACTGGAACCAGGGGACACCCCGTTTCCATGGCTATCCGAACAAATCCTCTTCTTGTCTTCAGGAATGCAATCTGCACATCCAGAAATAAAGCAAGAATTATTAAGTTACCAACATAAACATAGAAAGAAGATGAAGGCCGAGATCAAAAAGGAAAACCCGTTGTAAGTTTTGGGTGTTGGAGAAAATTGGGTATGGCAAACATGATAATTGTTATGTCAGAACGGCTTAAAACAATCTGAGCAAAGAAGTAAAAAAACAAGAACAGTCATAGAAGAATGAACCTCAGAGCCATATTCCATGTTGAATGTCTCTTGAACTCCACCAGGCACTACAATACAACTATAACCAGCTTCCAAAAGAGAACAAAAATTCTTCCTTGTGGCTGGTGAAGCACCCAACCATGTCCATATATGCCTCAAAAATGGAGCGTAGAAAACCTATAATCATTTATGTATACCAACCAAGTTATGACTGGTGAAGCACCCAACCATGTCCATATATGCCTAAAAAATGGAGCGTAGAAAACCTATAATCATTTATGTATACCAACCAAGTTATGGCTACAATGAAAGCATAGTAGTAGGGCGTGGATTACATAGTACTAAATTGCAACTGCAATGCTAAGTAATGGCCACCTCCTATCATTTTTCAAGGTCACCGCGATAATCATTTAAAAACATAGTTACTTTTAAGAAACAAATCAGGTCATAACGTCCACAGGCAACCACAATAATCAACGGCAACTGCAATTTAGTACTATAGTGTGGAATGCGACGGATATTAGAGTTTGGGGGTGAAAATGGGCTTACAGAGCTGGAGGCAAGGCATTTCATTTTGGGGAGAGGCATGAAACCTGTAAGCTCCGCCAGCGTTACAACTCCGATCGGTAACACCGAATGTGGCTCGTAACCAAAAACTGCAGCATTCACAAGCTAACATCTATTATTTTCTGAACAATGGATGCTTCATTTAACTACTTATTTCGTTTGTTTGTTAAACATTTACAAGCATTTTCCTGGGAATTTTAAAGTAAATATCAAAGGAAAGAAAGAGACCGTAAGCACGATCAGGATAGAAGTCATTGATGTCCTCAACGTGGAGAGTGGTGGGAAAATAACTTGACATATGCCAGCATATATACCTGTTCATCATCGTTTGTTAACCTCCAAAATCCAAATTAATATGAACACATAACTAGAGAAGCGATCAGAGCAGTGGTAATGGTACCTGGCCAACCTCCTTCCAAATTTACTGTTTTGGTCGATAGGAAGAACCGTGAAAAACAAAAACACTCCAACCACCCTGTGAATATATTGACACGAATAATACATGAGTTTCCGTCTTAAATTCCCTTTTTTTCTCTCGTGGAAAAACATAGACTGATACTTAGAAAAGAGTAAGGAAATAGGACGAACAAAAGGGATTTGGAGAAAGGAAGGAAGAGAAAGGAGAAAAGGAGGACAGAGACGTTGAAGTGCATAGATCCAATCCACAACGCACAAGCTAATACACCGTGCAAAATGTTGGACGGGATTCCATTTCTTCCATTGAATTCCCGATATCCAGATCCAGGCACGTACGCCTTCCTCTCCTCCCTTTCTTCCACCATCGAACCGCCGCGCTTTCAACTCCGCGTTCCCTCTCGAATTTGGTTAACAACTATCACAAATCACTCGCAAGACGACGCTTCGCTTGGCCCAATTCTAACCTTTTTATAGGCCCCCGTCGTATGCTCTCTTGTCAGCATTGGTCGGCGGGTTTTCAAATATGAACCGAAGAAAAAAATGTGCAATATTATATTTCTGTTCCACGAACCATCTATTTCAAATCATATCTCTTCTAGGTTAATTTTTAGCATAAATTACTCTTTCCAATCACTCAACTTTGACAATATTTTTATTTTGATAACTTAATTTTAAAATTACTTTTATTTTAATCATTCAACTGATAAATGTCCAATAACGTTATTAAAATTTGATTTAAGTGTCACCTTTGTCTGTAGTAGACTCGTTTATCATTTTCGCTCCTACCATATTTTCACATCAAGATAGTCATCGAAGTTGTTTAATTGTATCATTTTATATCATTCTCCTAACTTAAAACCCTAAATTATAAATAATGGTGGATTAAAAAATATTTTTCAAGGTGGACACATATGTATTAATGATAAAAAAATTGCATGTGGCAAATACAAATAAAATTTAAGGATAGACACATTCAGTAAAATTAACAACTAATATAAAGATATTTGAATTCCATATGGGCACAATAAATTTTAAGGTGTGTACCTTCAATAAAATGAACAACTAGTATAAAAAAATTCGGATTTCAAGGTGAACACGTGCTCACCCTAAGATGTACATGCATATGCAGGTGATTATAAACCCTAAGCTATATTTTTTAAGATAAATATATAATTATAATCATAATCTTACATGATTGTTAACAAAAATCATAGAATTTAAAGAAGTACCACCTGCTACCGAACGCGTGCATGTCAAACTTCAAAGCATTCACATGCTGCTGCACGTGTTTGTAGGAAACAATAATTATTCTAAAAATTACAAGTTTTAAGGCTTAAGCATATATTTAATAAAAAAATTAAAAAAATACAAGAAATAATTAATTTATCTGATGAAACAAGGTATTAGATTTTTTCAAATTAAGTTAAGATTTAAATTTTAATAATATAAATAGATTAAATTAAATTAAAATAATTATTTGATATAAAATAATTGATTAATAAATCAAATATCAATAATTAAATAAAAATTATAAACTTAAACTTGTGAGTTTAAGGTTAAAGCTTTTCTTTATATAAAAACCACTGATTTTATTAAAAATAAAAAATATCCAAATTACAATTAATGTTTACAATCACAGTTGAAAATCAAACACATAATAAAGATATTTTTATAAACATAACAAAACTAATCACTTAAAAATCATAATTACCATACAAGAAAAAGGTAAAAAAATAATAAAATTAAACTCGGATAAAAAAATAGATACAAACATATATGTCTGCATCTATATTTGAACCACAAAAGGGAATAAAACTATTGAAAGATCACAGACAAATTACAAATCAGAACTAAGCAATGTGAAAATACTATCCACATGAAGACATATCTTGTATCCAAATCTAATACGAGACTCCAAACCAGGGAAGATCAGCACGATACCAAACAAAACACTATCTTAATCAGTCATGACGATATCAAATTAAACCCTAAATAAAATAAATAAATAAAAATAACAACCAAACGACCGAAAACGTTTCATAAAAGCGTAGAAAAATGTATCATAAATTAAAGGCAAAAGAAGACTTACTATAAATATAGAATTATTAAAAATAAAAAAATAAAAAAACAAAAAATATGTTATAATAAAATAAAAAATAATAATAAATATTAACGATTGACGATTATACCACCCCTAATATCATCGTCAATGACAAAAAATAAATAAAAAGTGTGCATTTATTATTTGATTCTAAGAATCGTAATAAATCGTACCATCAGTTGTTAAATATTTATATGGTTTATTTGATTCTAAGACATATTTTAAATGATTTTGGACAGCATTAATTAATATTATAATGCTTTCTTTTAATTGTCTGTCCTAGCCATGTGCTATGCACCTTTTCAGATCTTATTTATTAATGTTCCATGACGATCCCTTTAAATAAGATTTTTCACACTTATTTTTAAATATATTTTGTGCTAAAAGAGGCAAAGAGCTTTCCAAAATAATAAAATGTGTTTGGTAAATAAAAATTATTAAATTTGATCGCATTGGCTTTGTGCTTAAAAAAAATTACAACTTTATATTATACTAATCATGATACCGCTGTGGCAAATAATTTATTTACCGACAATGATGCGTGCTTAGAATATTTCAGTAATTTAATTTTAATATCTCGAAGATATTGCTTACGAATAAGATGCAAGTATTTTCAAACTGAGATATTGCTTACCAATTCATTATCTATACTTTTAATATATTTTAAAACACGCCGTCAATTCAAGATATGAGCTTTTTACTAGAACATAAAAAGAAATTATAAACTCAATTTGATATTTTTAACTTTGAACAAAATTTGAAGAATTTTTTTTTAAAGATATATTAAGATAAGTGGGAGTTTTCGATCGATTAATTGAATTGGTAACTGAATTTTAACTCTTAAGATATCAGATATCAACGTCACTCAAGGATTGACAGAGGAATGGCTAAAAGCAGTCGTTTCTTGAAATTTTAAAATTAATGTGTACTTCACATTTTTTCTATATTTTTTATGTACTTTATATTGAAAAATCTGTTTTCGTCCCATAGAATTTGATAAGTTTAAATTCACCTCGTGTAACATAAAATTATACATCCATCTCTGATGGTGCATACAGTTTCCCAAATATAGAGTTTTAAAAAGGAAGGGCCTTATTCAGATACATGCATGTAAGCCAAGCTTCTCCAAAGCTGTTATTAGGGTTACTTGTTTCGGGCATCGATATTGAATTAAGAAGGTAAAGGAGAGTGGCAAATGAAACGAACATTAGGCATCGTTGAAACCACACAACCTGGGATCAAAGGATCTTTAATGGAAGATCACCATATCCCACCCGAGCTTTATGCCTCTCAAACAGATCTTGAGTAGCTTTTACAAACTGGGCATGTACCTCACGTACCTGTGTCACATATTTGATTAATGCATGTAATAGAAGTCCATGCAAAACAAGTTGGAAGGCAATCAATCACATTGTGCCTATGCTAACCCTAATGTTCTCGTCGCGTTCGAGTGTGGATAAAGAACGGATAGTTATTTGAAAATGATTTTAAAATTGATGAATCTAATTCACTAGAACCATTGATGACGTGGTGAGCCGAATCAATGAAATAGTTTCTCATTTATTTGGCACTCGACCGAAATCTAAGTAAAAATAATTTTATCCTTGTAATTTAGCAATTAGAGTCACTAAGAAACATCATGAATTAAGCATTTGCATAAAGTAGGGAGTTATTCAGTGCCATTAAAGGCAATGAAAGACTACAATAATAGCCATGAAAGCATTATAAGAAAATACCTCTTCGTTGGTAGGTTGGGGATTTTTGGTCAAGTAAATGGGTTTCCCGACCACCACATGCATTGGATGTTGATAGGGTATCGGAGTTCTGCAAATGAAATAACTTAAATCAAATTACTAATTCTTGGGGGGGTCAAAGATGCAAATTTGCCATTACTAATAAGGATTGAATTTGAATTAAACTAATAAATTTTTTAATGGACTATAAATGAACCAAGAGGTCCCTGTTATACAACATCAACATTACATGATCTCCAATGATTCGTTTTAAAATGTAAAATAAATAGTATTTAAAGAAAGAAAAAAATATTAAGAGACCTTAATGGTAAAAAAAAGAGTGTTATTTTCTCTAGAAATCTTAAATTCGAATAGACACGTCTGCAAATATATGTATACTATATCGTTGTCAAGACTAAAAGAGATTTAAAAAATATTTAAATTAGAAAAGATAAATCTATACTTAATATATCCAATTTCAAAAACAAGTAGAGCACAAAAGTAACAAGGAATAAGGTTTAATTTATTTAATTTAAAAAATTTTAAGGACTTAAAAGATAATTGAACCAAAAAATAATGGTAATCCCATTCCACCCTCCATCGAAGTAGTTCCCCGTTCGTTACCCTAAACCCCATCGAGCAAAAAGGTGAAAAGAAAACTGGAATATAATTTAGTTCATACCCAAAAGCCCCCCAAAATAGCATGGGGACGAATTTAAGAGCTCTTGAAAGCTGCAGGATGAACTTGCCACCTGGTTTCCACCACCTGTACGCATATGACTGGTGCACAAGCAAGGAAATTAGACTCAAGCGGTGTAGAATATTAAGGAACTTGTTAGAAAAATATTAATTATAAATAAATAAATAAATAAATAAAGTTCAAGCAACAATGGTCTGTAGGTTAAATAATATTAAAAGTTCTTAATATTATAAGATGAAGCAAGATTTGCTCATTCCATATAACTTTTTCTAATTTTATAATGTTTTTAGAATTCTTGTAGGAATAAGAATATATAATCGATATTAACAATAAAAAATATTTTTTTATAAAAATAGAAAAAATAATAATTTCAATTGTATGTTTTTATTTATTTAATATTGTTTAAAATATATAAGGTAAACTACACATTTAGTACTTAAATTATTAGTTTTATTACCCAAACTTTTATTTTTTTTCAAAATCATACCTAAAATTTAATTTTTGTTTCGTTTTAATATCTCAACGTTAAAAACTTAACAAATAGCTTGTAAGTGACACCTTTTCTGATTAATTTCATCATTCACCATTCAATTGTCTTCTTACTCCTTTTTTTGTCACTAAAGTTTAAAAATATAATTTTTTTTTGAAAATTAGAGTGATTAAAATAGGAAGAATTTGAAATTTGAGTAGTTAAATTAAAAAAAATTAAACTTTAGTACCAAAATAGTAGTGAAAAGAGAGCTATGAATGTTTAGAGTGATTAAAATAGGAGTAATTTAAAAATTGAGTAGTTAAATAGAAATTTTTTAGACTTTAGTACTAAAATAGTAATGGAAAGATAATTATGTGATGAATGATGTAATTTACCTATAAAAAATATAATTTTGTTATGTTTTTAACGACTAGATACTAAAATAAAACTAAATGTTAAGGATGATTTTGAAAAAAAAGTGAAAGTTTATATACTAAAAAGGAAAAAAATATTAGTTCAAGTACTAAATGCAAAATTTACCCAATATATATTTAAGTGGATCTTAGTTACAAAGCATTGCGGTTGCGGTGTTATTGTGATCACGGTCGTGAAATTTTTCTAAATGAATTAATTAAAAATTTGATTTAAAAAAAATAAAAATGGCAAAAAAATAGTTGATTAACAGTCGGCTATTGCAGTGATTGACTATTACCTCATTAAATAGCGGTGGCGACCTAATATTATTGGTGTGATTCCGTTTTACACTATTATTATTTTTTACGAAAACAGTTTCAAATACTACCTTGACCACGGTATAGCAGCCAGGTTACTATTTGAATCCCTGTCGCGAAGCTTTTTTGGAATGATGAATTATGAGGTAGGACAATGCTGAAATTAAAGAATTCTAAAGCGGCACGCAAGAAGACAACCTGTCCGAAGGCGAAAACAGGGACAAGTGGACACCCCATTTCCATAGCTATCCGAACAAATCCTGTTCGTGACTTGAGGAATGCAACCTGTAATTTCCAGAAATAAACACACGGAATCAAAACTGGGTTTGATTGAACCAGCAAGAAACAAGAACAGAGAAGATGCAAGAATGGAACCTCAGAATCATGCTGCATGAGGAATGTCTCTTGGACTCCACCAGCCACTACAATACAACTGTAACCAGCTCCCAACAGTGAACAGAAGTTCTTCCTCGTGGCTGGTGTAGCACCCAACCATGTCCATATGTGCCTCAAGAATGGAACGTAGAACACCTATGTTCATTATGATTTACCACCAACTGAATTAATGCCAAAAGAAAATTGAGTAATCGTAAAGGATTTGGAAGTTTGGGGGGATTGAAATCGTCCTTACGGGACTGGTAGTAAGGCCTTTCAGTTTGGAAAGAGGCATGAAACCCGTACGTGAAGCAAGCGTCACAACTCCGATCGGCAACACCGAATGTGGCTCGTAACCGAAAACTGCAGCATTTGCAAGCGAAAACTGGATTATTTTCTCGAGATATTTTAAGTACAGATTAACACAAAGAAGTAAAGAGACCGTAAGCACGATCGGGGCGGAAATCGTTGATGTCCTCGACGTGGAGAGTGACCGGAAAATAACTGCTCATATGCTTACATATATACCTGCTCATTCCGATCATAAATACTTGTTAAGCTTAAAATTGATTAGAAAAAAAGAAGAGATCAGAGCAGTGATAATGGTTACCTGGCCAGCCTCAGCCCAAATATACTGTTTTCATCGATTGGAAGAACGGCGAAAGCCGCTAGGATTCCAACCACCCTGAACATTAATCAAAGAAAGAAATTAATTTATGTCATTTAGATTCTCTTCTTTTCCTTTCAACAAGAAGATAAAGTAATACACTTAAAAAGATCAAGGGAAAGGGGACGAACAGAAGGAATTTGGAGAAAGGAAGGAATAGAAGGGAGAGGAGGAGGACGGAGGCGTTGAAATGCATAGATCCAATCCACAACGCACAAGCTAATACACCGTGCAAAATGTTGGACGGGAATTCATTTCTTCCACTGAACTGCCGATATCCAGGTCCAGGCGTATACGCCTGTTCCCCCGCCCTCTCTTCCACCATTTTCGACGCCGATGACCCCATCGCCTCCGCTCTTTAACTCTGCACTTCCCCCCTGTCTTTTGGGTTAACCAACACTTCATATCACACAGCTGTGTTTTCCTCTTATGTTACGAGTAATGAATGGTGCGGTGCATTCTACACCAATCCCGGATGCCCAAAGCTAGATTTTCGGGTAAAAGTTAATTTTTGGGTAATTACACTAATGATAATCAAAGGTTTAGGACACTTGCATTTTGCCTACCAAACTTATAAAATTAGAAATTTCAGTCTTCTATATTTTTTGTGCCATTAAATCCAAATATTATATTCATTTGAAATTTTAGTATCTCATTAATTTTATCTTTAATTGCTTACTTGGTGACTATATAAATAACTTTATTATTTCTCTTTATATATAACTTTTATCAATTTTATTTTTAATGTTTAGGGTAGATTACACGCTTACTCATTAAACTTTACTCTCTTCTATTTCACTCATCGTGCTTTTAATTTTTTCAATTTGCTCAATGAACTTTATACATTGAATTTTTTAGTCACTCCACCGTTAACTTTTTAACGGAGTTATGACATGTATTAAATAAACATTTTATAATCATTAAAATACATTTAAAAAGAAAATAATTTAAAACTAAGATACCCTTAACCCTCAAAACCTTTCATTTTCTCAAATCCAAGCTCCACCACCGTTTCTCTTTGGCTTCCTCCCATCATTTTTCTCTGCTTCGTTCTCTTCTTGCTTTCATAGCCTTCAACCTTTGCCCTTGCTCTCTGGTATATTCTCTCTCCCTCAAATGGAATTCATTCTGTTATTGAAGTGCTTTGCAAATGCTTTTACTTTTGAAACCATGAAGAAATTGATCGATGGGAGACACAGGTTTTTTTATTTACAATGTTTTGATTAATGGATATTTGAAAATGGGGAATTGAAAAAGAAGAATAGAAGGATGATTTTGGATCTAAAAAGGATCATTAGAAGGAGGTTTCATCTCCAAGGTTAGCCTTTTCAATCTAGTTCCATTATCCAAGAGAATGAAGGAAGGAAGATTTTGGGCAAAAAGGTAATCAAGATGTTGAACTATATTTTGATATAACAAATTAAGGTAAAATGTTTTTGGACTTGAATTGAATTTATTTAGAGTTTTCAAAGTTTTCAAAAATAATTCAAAGTCTATTAAAAGTGAATTTGAGCACAAAACTGATTTTAAACGTACGTAGTACTGATATTGTTCTTACAGTATCGATACTATATGAACAATATCGATATTGTTCATGTGGTACTGATACCCAAGGTAAGAGAAGTATTGATACTCTCTAGGTAGTACCGATACTACCAGCATTTCTCAAATTCTAGAATGCAAAAATGGTACCGATACCCAAAGGGGTACCGATACCCAAAGAGGTACCGATACTATTTACATATTAGTATCGATACCATCATGCCCAACGGCTAGTAACAGATAGTTTTATTTAAATATTACAAAGGTAGTACCGATACTCCCTATAGAGTATCGATACCCTCTGTACTGGGCAATTTTATTTCGCAGAGAAAACATCCTCAAACGGCTAAAAATCATCCCAACGGCTAGAAACGGCCACAAACACATTCCAACATATAAATACAAGTTCAAGACACTTGAAGAATGGTTAGAACATCCATCCAAGCAATCAAACACAAGAGAAGAGCTTTTCACTTTTTATTCTTATTCTCTTGTAAATATTTTGCTCTTGTGAGCTTTTTTTGTAAACACCCTACCTTTAAGAGATTTTATTGTTTACTTCTTTTTACCTTTTGTAAAGAGGATTGATTCAAGTTTAGCCAAGTGCAAAACTAGGGAGTTTGTAAAGGTTACTCTTGATCTTTGAAAAAGAAAGAACAAATTAGTGAACTTGTTATAAAATCCTTAGTGAGGAGCTAAGGTAGTGGATGTAGACTTAGTCGAGAAGTCGAACCACTATAAATCGCTATGCAAAATTATCTATCTTTTCTTTCTCCTTACTCCCTAAACACAATTTGCCAATTCGCCCCTCTTGGCACATTTTCGGTTGTTCAAATTGAGCTTCAACAATCCCAACACAAAAGAAGGAATGAAGATTTATTGCTGGTTTTAAAGGTTTTTTCTCTTATTTACCCTTTTCAGTCTTCCTTCTCTTCTTCTTTGTCAATCCACCAAGGATTCATTCATTCAAGAAGGAGTTCTGATGCTTTGGAGCAATTAAGAAGAATATAGGAAATGCTTGACAAACTTAATTCATGATTTGGAGAAATCAAAACAGGAGATTTTATGTTCTTTGTTTTGTTTTCTTTTTTTAGTGAAATTGAATAGTTAAGAACATGGGTTCATTGCAGAGTTCAATAGGTAATGGGAACCATTTTCAAGTTGAAGAGAGAAATATAGAGAGAATGAGGAGAGGATGAAGAAGGGGAAGGGGAACTGCAAGTAAGGGATAATAAAAATATATAAATAATATTAATAAAAATATTAATGGGTTAAAAAATAAAAAAATACCACATCATCACGGAGTTAGGAAAAAACGGTGGGGTGACTAAAAAAATTTAATGTATAAAGTTCAGTGAGTAAATTGAAAAAATTAAAAGTATAATGAGTGAAATATGAGAAAGAATAAAATTCAGTGAGTAAGCGTGTAATTTACCCTAATTTTTAAAAAACATAAAAAGTTATCACTAACTAAATAATATATTTTTAGTCTTTTATGTTTATAGCTTTTAAGCAACAAATTAATCAAATATATATATAAATGTATAAGATTAAAAAATAATTTTTTACTTTTTGGAATTACTAGATCAATAATTACAAATAAAAATGACAAAAAAAAAGTAATAAAAGAATTAAGATTCTCAAATAAAATAGTTCAAAAATTCAATCATCATAAAAATTGTTTAAATTCAAAGTTTTTTTATAATTACAAAAATAATTATAAAATGTTGAAGATAACCCAAATTGATTGGTGTTATGGAATTCTATCCATCCACCTCACAAATTTGTTTATAATTTTCAGATCATGCCATTTTACAGCCACTTAGCACGTGCTTTGTCATTGGCAGCATTTAATTTATAAACACGCGTTGATTGTATATATCTACTCCAAAAATGAATCAAAGGTTAAACAAATAACTTTTTGTTATTTATTTATTTTTAATTTAGTATGGATTCGGTTGTTGTTTTTTTTTATTAAATTAAAATGATTATAAAGTAGTATATATTTTAAATATTTTTAATTATTTGACAATTTTAAATTATTCTGTTGTAACTATTGATACTCGAACAAATAACTTCTACAAACAATAACGATTATTTTAAGTGATCATATAAGTTGAGTCGGGTTGAATTCGATTATTGTTGATTTCGAAAAATCTCTATCCATCTACCTCATAATTTTGCTGCCAATTTCACTTTCCAAAGATTGCCATATATAGTATGTATCATAAATGAATCCAGCTCAACCAAATAAAAATTTATTTATATTTATTTAATTGTTAGTATTAAGTTTAACTCAATTTAATTTGATTTCTTTATAAATTTCAAAATTAAGGGAATATTTTGTTTTAAATTTGAATTAATAATTTTATTTATATAAATTTATATTTAAAATTCATTTAATTGAATTAATTTTATCATTTGTTTCAATGAAAATCATTGTTCACTAGTATAATGTTGGTGTACTAACGTAATTATTTACGTGTTGATGTGATAATTTATATGTGAATGATTTTGAATTATATTAAAACATTTGAGGAAAAAATTGTATATAAATAATATGAGATTCGAGAATCTCAAGCTCAAATTTATTAATTTTGAATCGTCAAATATAAATCATGTACTTAATCAGATTCATGTCAATACGAGAGACTGGCAAATGAAACAAACATTAGGCATCGTTGAAACCACACAACCTGGGATCAAAGGATCTTTAATGGAAGATCACCATATCCCACCCGAGCTTTATGCCTCTCAAACAGATCTTGAGTAGCTTTTACAAACTGGGCATGTACCTCACGTACCTGTGTCACATATTTGATTAATGCACGTAATGGAAGTCCATGCAAAACAAGTTGGAAGGCAATCAATCACATTGTGCCTATGCTAACCCTATTGTTCTCGTCGCCTTCGAGTGCAAGTGATACAAACATGATACAAACATAACCAGTTCCTACGTGTGAATAAAGAGGGGATAGTTATTTGGAAATGATTTTAAAATTCATGAATCCGAGTGATTCACTAGGACCGTGGATGACGTAGTAAGCCGTATCAATGAAATAGTTTCTCATTTATTTGGCACTCAACCTATATCTAAGTTACAGAAATTAACCAATGTTATTTAGCAATTAGAGTCACTTACTCACAAAGAAACATAATGAATTAG